GCCGCTTATATTTTTTTCTTCTCATTTTTCTCTGGTTAAATACGTCTTCTCTTTAACAACCTTTCGCGGTCACTTTATTGAAGGTGGGGGTGGGGGTGAGGGGGTGTCAACGTGAGGCAACTGAGACATGTTTTACGTCACCCGGAACACATAAACAGGGTCCAGCGTGCAGTCTGTGTACTGTCTGCTGCCTCGAGAAGTTCATTTGAGTGTTAGAAAAATGGGTAAACACTTATTTGGAAACTAATGTGGTCGTGTGGGGTAAGGGTGGTATAGGGTTAAGGTGGTGTGGGATGAGGGAAGGTCGTCTGGATAAGGGAGGGTCGAGTGGATGAGGGAGGATCGTGTAGGTGGTGGTGGAGACGACGGTGGCGAGGCTGCTGCTGACAGGAATGTGGCTCCGCTCTGGGCCGTGTGAGGCTGCCCTTGCTGGCTCTGGTGCACTTTGTAGGACTAAACACCCACTGAATTAATCATACTGTAATGTATAAATATATATAATTGTATAAAGTAACCAGAAATCACATACTCTGCAGGACCAAGCATGGTGCTTCATAGGGTATAAGAACGAGCTGGTCTTACTCCTCTGATTAAGTACCAACCAGAGGAAGGAGGGAGGGAGGGAGCACATTGATAGGCAGGTCAACACTCCTACCCAAGACATCCACATGTCCTAGAGATCTGTGCAGTGAAACTATTACATTATAAGACAAAATAGAAGATAATTTTTCTATTAAGTACCGTCCAGAAGAAATCCTCGTAAGGTTTATTGATTGGAGGGAAACTGGGGTGATGGCTTGTCGGTGGGGTACTTACCTAGTCCCTACAAAAAGTTATGTCCCTAAAACATCGCTGTAGAATAAATAATTTCCATACACATAGCTGTATTTTCCACCAGTTACGTACGGAAATCTTGGGAGAATGGCCATACAAAATTTTCTTCCCTTTTCCGCCAACCTTTTAACAAGTCAGATGCATAGTGTGAGTTAGTCCACGACTCCATAGGGGTGTTTATGGGGGTGTAGCTTCTTTTGGGGCTTCTATACACTAACATCAAGGTACTTTGTAAACATCAAGGGCCTTTGTAAACATTAAGGTACTTTGTAAACATCAAGGGCCCTTGTAAACATCAAGGCACTTTGTAAACATCAAGGTACTTTGTAAACATCAAGGCACTTTGTAAACATCAAGGTACTTTGTAAACATCAAGGGCCTTTGTAAACATCAAGGTACTTTGTAAACATCAAGGTACTTTGTAAACATCAAGGGCCTTTGTAAACATCAAGTTACTTTGTAAACATCAAGGTACTTTGTAAACATCAAGGGCCTTTGTATATACCTTTGTAAACATCAAGAGACAAGTAAATATTGAAGGGAATGAGGGAGACGTAGGGAATGGGGAAGGAAGTTACAGTGTAAGGAAGCAGAGAGAAGGAGGGCAAGTGAATGAAGATGGAAGGAATGATGAAGAGGAAAGGGGGAGGGAGGGAGGGAGGTAAGAATGGTAGAGAGTTACTCGCCGCTGGAACACGACACTTCACTCACAATGTCTGTGTCAACTTCCACCGCCCTTGTCCAGTCAGGTTAGGCTAGGTGGAGGGTCGTGATTACAGTTGACAGGTGGAGGGTCGTGATTACAGTTGACAGGTGGAGGGTCGTGATTACAATTGACAGGTGGAGGATCATGATTACAATTGACAGGTGGAGGATCGTGATTATGGGGAACTCCTGTTTTAGTTATGATTAGATCAAGTTAATAGACGAAAACTATTTAATGTCGTATCCCTACACTTAGTACAGTGGAAGGACCCGCCTCACACACACACACACACTCACACTCTACGGCTACCAGGATTAACATAGACCTTTGTAAATGATCTCCCTGTGTCGAGTCTCACCGCCTCGCCCCCCCACCCATGGCACTCACGGCCGCAGTGACCCACCCGGCAGTGTGGTGAAGATGAGAGCCGCAGAGGACAAGATTGTGACGAGATAATTGCAGGTACAAGTTGACTGAGGTTCGTGATCGAGGTCAGTGGTTCGTGATCAAGGCCAGAGGTTCGTGATCGAGGTCAGAGGTTCGTGATCGAGGTCAGTGGTTCGTGATCGAGGTCAGTGGTTCGTGATCAAGGTCAGTGGTTCGTGATCATCAGTGGTTCGTGATCGAGGTCAGAGGTTCGTGATCGAGGTCAGTGGTTCGTGATCAAGGCCAGAGGTCGCCCTATATTCAACCATTACATGAGGTGTGTAGTTAGCGAGACGTGAACAAGACAACATTCTAACAGGCATTCTTAAGATAGTGAGGGCGTGGTGTTATCAGCGGCCCTCTTGCCTACCCACAACTTAGCGCCTGCCTGACCCTCCTCCATCAAGCATTATAATGACCCATAGTGTAAGTTAGGTGTTATCTTATCATTATCAGTGTATCTGAGTGACTGACGGGCCTAGAGTGACACTACAGGGGGAGTGGTAGGGTAGATAAAAGATAAGTATGTGTAGCTCTTTGATATCCACTCACGTTTCCACCCCAGAAAAATATATTGATAAACAAGAAAGGTTCAGGATTTTAAGACGAACTTTGTCCATGAATGAGAGAAATTTAATGCTGGTTTATTGTTGTTTAGTTCTTAATGTGGACAAAAAACATTATTCTGGAGTGCACTATTTATAATATTTTGAATGTTTAATAATCACGTTTGAGTTTTGTTCATCAGAAATAAGAATGGATATATTTATTTGTTCTCAGGTATTCAATTAGCCGTTATAACCTCAACACATAGAGGAATGTTGATTTTTTTTTACCTGTAAGGGGATACGAGCATATGTCTAACTGGCTTCCTAATCAACCAAATAAATGTTCTAGCCAAAGTTACTAGCTGCAATATTTTTTTTTCATAATAAGAGAAAAAAAAAGATGGGATACCACAGTCTCTTTCTCTCAGTACAAGTGAGTATAACAAGGTGAGGGGCGGGGATGATAAGGGTAGGGCCATAATAATAATGCCATCTATTAGGTCTTGTTACCCTAAAGATCCGGAAGAACGACACTCCCTATACACCCACTGCACCTACACCCACTACACCTACACCCACTGCACCTACACCCACTACACCTACACCCACTACACCTACACCCACTACACCTACACCCACTACACCTACACCCACTACACTTACACCCACTACACCTACTATATCACATAACTGGAAAGATAAACTATATATATTCTTTAGTTCAGTTCATCTTGTCTTTCAGTAAAAACACGTTTCAAAGCTTATAACTAGCTGGATCACGTGAAGATTAGGCACCCCAGTTTATTTCAGTATTAATGATTGAACTCCTTAACATAGCCAAGCCCTCGGCCGCAGCTGGCGTTAGGGTGTGTCCTGGCTGGGGCTCGAACCCTTGACGTATTAGTGAGAGTTACGCGCGTTACCGGTGTACCACGTTCTGGTTTATAATATAATAGATGATACTGAAATGGTGTTTTGTGTGTGAGACCCACCAAATACGGTGTACAGTAATTGTGTCAACATTATTTCCTTATTCTCATAATCGTAATATTAAAAATAGGAAATTGGTTTACACTTTAATCTGTTCTCGTGAGTCTATATAACTTCAGGCAATAAACTTCGGAACTCAACTTTATTGCTCTATACAAGTCTACGGGGTGAAAACTTTGGTCTTCCCACGACATTAGTGGCTGGAACTATTTCATTAACTAGTAACACCTTCCCATCATATCCAGGTGTCAGATGAGAAACCTCTGGACACAACAGTCACCCAGTCTTGCCGTCATGAGAACGATAAACCATCATTTCAAGGCAACAATCATCATTTCCACCTACTGTTGTTGACCCAGTGGACGCCTCCCTGTTCGTCTCACAACAATCCCTCATCTTCTTGGTCCCGTCAGCAGGTTTTGATCGTAGCCACGCAGTCTTAAGTGTTAGTACATGTATCAGTGATGGTAATTTTTGTCATAGTTTCGTATTGCAAGAACGTTGATATTATCTTAGCAACTCGGCACCGTGTGAAGGCGAGGGAGCCTGGTTGGATGGTGCGCAGCTCAGATTGTTGTCGGACTAGTTTTTTGTATTACCGGATGTTGGTATGACCTAAGGTAGAACTAGAGGACTTACTGTGCTGATGGTCGCTCTTTTATGTTCTGTATTTGATAGTGGGTTACGCTGTCTAGTTGTGAGCTGGGTGTTGGGGGCACTGTTGGCTGGGTGTGGTGTGGGGTACTGTGGGCTGGGTGTGGTGTGGGGTACTGTGAGCTGGGTGTGGTGTTAGGACGCTTCACTTTTTCTATTTGGTGTTCTATAGATTCCTACTTCCTGTACCATCACCTCGTCTCCACCATCTGTGTACGAGACATCTGTGATCCCCCATGTCCTTGCTGTCACTATTCCAACTTGTAGAACTTTTCGTCAATCTGAAGCCATTTACACCTCGGTTTAAGACAGTGTTGAACTCCCTTACCGCAAACCTTTTATTCCTCTACGGTTTAACCTCCATCGGTTGAAAATATCCTGATGCCTTCGTGAATAGATATAACGACGGCACATTCTTATCTCTTACTGCGTTATTTATTTATAAGAAACACTTCATGACTATGTTACACTGATATAAGTTATAATTAATAATGTTTATCAATTTTAGGTATTTTTTCACTCCTCTGATGGTGGTGGTGATCCTTGAGGGGCTATTAGGTAGTGACGTAATATATTTCCTGATTATGATTTGACGTCAAAAGTTTCTGGAAATGGTGTTATTACGTGTGTCTTCAGAAGCTGTGTGTGTTATGACGCCTGTTGTTTATAATGTCTTTTAATTGGGTTATTAGAGGTAGACACGAGCCCACACTCCTGTATTCATTTTGGTGCCAGTGAGCAGTGTAGTGCGTGTATATGAGGATGGACGATCTTGATGGTGTGTGAGAGTAGCAGGTAGGTGAGGTGGTTACAAGTGAAGTATAATGTTATTCCCGCTACAGCAACACGAGCCTGGCCACCCCCGCCCGCCGCCCCACCCCGGAGCCCCCTGACAAAGATGTGGCCCCCACCAAGGAGGCGGCCAGGACCAACAGGGTGTGGGGCAAGACTAATGGAAGGAGTGGCCCATCTACCCCCAACTCACCCGCCACAAGACGACCTTTATCTTCTGAGGTCACTAAGAAAGACCTCAGCAATAATAGCCGCCCCAACAGTCGAGCGGGCACCCCCATCAGGCGTGGACTAGGAACCAGGAGTGCCACCTCCTGCATGATCAGGCCCCCAACTCGGGAGAAACTAAGCAGTGACTCCTTCAGTAAACCTCGAATCCAGAGACAGAACAGCAGTATTGTGGACCGGCACAGTCCCTCCAAGTTATCCAGGTCACCAGGTAGTGGCGTCAGCAGGCTAGCAACACCTCGACGTACTGACAGCCTCACGAGACTCGACAAATCCCCGGGCATGGGCAGCACCCTAAGACTGAGCACCTCACCCCGCCCAGTCCAGCTCATGAGGCACAACACTTCCCTCTCCATGAGAACCTCGTTAAGAGGCGGTGCTGCCTCCAGTAGAGCAGATGTCTTAACAAGTAGTGGAACCCCAAGTAACCTTCTCACTAAGTCTTACAGGAGAGCTGATGCCAACAAACCAGAAGGCAGCAAGATAGACAAAGCTTCAGGTACGGGAAACAAGACAGCGAGGGTGGGAGGGTCTATCAACACTGCCATCTCGCCCTCTGTTGCCAGACTTACTGGTCGCGTCACTAGTGTCAAAACCAAAAGTTTCCCCATCGAAAAAAGTTTATCCTTTGTCACAAAGTCTGTTCGAGAGCGTGGAATTAACAGCAGCCTCCAGCCCCCGGTAGAGAGTACTGACGCAGACGGCCGCTACAAAGAGGCAACATCCCCCAACAGTAAACCTTCCAGAGGTAAAAACAATCAGTTCTCGGGAGGGAGAGTTAGCACCAGTAACTTGAGCACTCCACAAGAGCGTGGTGGCTCGAGCAGAAAATTTACGGAAAGAAATGTTCCTCGAGGCACGTTGACCAGGGAAGGAAGTACGCTGAGACCTCGAATTGCAGAAGAGAAGTTTCGCCGTGTTCCAACCCCTACAACTGTGTCTCCCTCCAGCCAGGAGTCAACAGCAACTAAGTTATCGAGCAATAAGGTGACTGGCAGGCCTACGGGAGGGAACTCTAGGCACATCCTCCCCAAGATCACTCTCACCAGAACCAACAGCAGGAGCAGTCTGGGTCGCGACGACACCCCCACCAACGGAAGGGCCACTGACAAGGGTAACAGCAGGACCGTGTGTCGTGTGTGCCCTAGCATGGTGTTCTGTGGAATGCTGTATATATTTCCAAACGTAGTTTTTTTCCGACGTTTAGTAATGAATCGTGCGCCAGGTATTCCTAAGTAGTGTGAGCTTTCTTGATAACCTCCTGGGTGCGCTTCTCCCTGAACCCGTGCATGTGGGTTACTTTCATTATCATATAATGGGAGTAGTGCATCTCAGGTGTGTTGACCCGAGGCGGGGGCCCTGCTTAGGTCATGCAAGCTGCCAGTCATCGTGGAAGGCGGGCGGAGAGACCCGCTGGTGTGCACGAGTCTTCCCCGTCCTGATGTACAACAATCTTTGTTGGGCTCACGTTCACAGCAGTCAGCATGAGGGACGACGCCCAGTACATGTTCTTTAACTTCGTGTGTGTGATGTGTGGCTGTGCTTATGACTAATAACTGGATTATTTTCCCTGCAGTTTATACAGCAGTGCATGATGTGTGTGTGTGTATACGGTAGCGTTGAGTTGTGTGGAGGCTTGATAATGTTGTAGCTTACAGGTGAGGATGAGGACGCCGCCGCTGGAGACTGTCACTGTGTCTGTACATTCTTCTTCTCTATGAACATTATTCATGTGCCATTCATATCATGGAATTAATTGCTACATTTGTGCTCTTTTTTTTTTCTCCTAATTTTTTTTCACGACCATGCTATACCACAGTTGATGTGGATAATTATGCGGCAGAGTTGATGGTGCATTATTGACCACCTGGGATGCAGAATCTCAAAGGTTCATATGGAGAAATATTCCTTAAAACTCAAGATGTAAGACTGTACCTCATTGGTTGGTTTTAAGATAAAGCAAAAAGATAATATTATAAAAATGGCACATAAATGACATAGAGAATAAGATATACATTCACCAGAAACAAGTTCACCCTAAGTGTCCCTCTAACTGGGGCTAAGATGGCGTTTCTAGTTAAAGTTTTGTCTCATTAGGAATTTGATTGTTTTCGACTTTGTTTATGCTATAGAGTCAGCCAGTTGGGTGTATTGTTACACCTCAAGTTACAAGGAATATTTTGTCTTAGGAACCTTTGAGTCTCTGGACCCGGGCGTGGGGGGTGACCCAGCTTACAGCCATGCCAGGCGCCCCACACGGAGGCCGGAGACCACAACCCACACGCAGTGTATCCCAGTTCATGATTAACTTGTGGTGAATAGTTGTGTAGAATTCCAGAATTAATTACAGATGTGCCTAAAGTCATGGCAGCGAATTAGTATATAGTTCTGACTAAACTTTTAATAATCACTAAGAGAGATTCATCATTAAAAGCCAATAATTACACTACAGTACGTTCAGTGTTGATGTACAGTAGACACTTGTGTAGTCTCCCCTGAAATTGGAAGAAAACCAGGATAACTTAAATTGAAATAACAAATCACTCCGCGTTCCATATTTGTACAGCATTTAAAAGAAAATAACTGACTCTTGGATATCAAGGGATGTTTGAAGACAAATCATTAAGAGAAGCAAACTCAAAACTCAAGAGCTCACCTAACTTGATATGACGTCACGTGTAAACAAACTCCCCTCACGGTCTGTTGATGCTTCCATCTAGTTGTGGTACCTCCTCCTCCCTACCACCCACCATTACCTGCTTGTGGTACCTCCTCCTCCCTACCACCCACCATTACCTGCTTGTGGTACCTCCTCCTCCCTACCACACACCATTACCTGCTTGTGGTACCTCCTCCTCCCTACCACCCACCATTACCTGCTTGTGGTACCTCCTCCTCCCTACCACCCACCATTACCTGCTTGTGGTACCTCCTCCTCCCTACCACCCACCATTACCTGCTTGTGGTACCTCCTCCTCCCTACCACACACCATTACCTGCTTGTGGTACCTCCTCCTCCCTACCACACACCATTACCTGCTTGTGGTACCTCCTCCTCCCTACCACACACCATTACCTGCTTGTGGTACCTCCTCCTCCCTACCACACACCATTACCTGCTTGTGGTATCTCCGCCATCCCCTGCTTGTATTGCCTCCCCAGTATCATATTATATTGTATAGATAAATCCTAGGTATGGCCCTCTGAGACACTGCTAGTTGTTGTATTTCATAATTATGTAAGAGCTACGAGTACTGTATATAGTAAACCTCCAGTGTGTATTAAGTGTAGCGAGCTGTTCTTTCGTGTACTTGTTAACTCCACAATATATTTTATACAGCTGTGTAGTTGATGCTATGCTATTTTGCCTTAACATGATTTTCTTTAAATTTTTTATACTTCCATATTACTCATTCAAGGTTTTATTATTTGTTAGTTCCAATTTATTTAAGTTGGTGAAATTTAGATTTTTTTAAAAGAAATACTCCATTGTGTCTGCATATGGACATTCACTGGAGGCCAAATATACACGGGTATACGTTAAATTTATTAACCTTTTTAATTAGGTTATATAGTAGGAGTAAGAACAGTAGTACTTCTGTTACATGAGAAGTCATTTGTCGTACTAACTGAGGTGTGTTGCAGGCAGCACGACCCGCGCCGTCCACCGATCTACCCACCCCCTCGCTCTGAACTTCCCGCCACGCAGACGCACTATTGATTTGGCTCCCCCAGGCTTCCGTGCCGTGAGTTTCCAAATAATTTTACATTTCCTATTAATTTCTTTAGTATTAGCTTTCATTCTTTTTTGCTTTTAATTTAAGTAATATGTACGTAGGTTTTATTTATATATAAAATCTCCAGGAAAATCTAGGGAATCTCTAAAATTTAAGCTGTTTTACACTGCATTTCCCTATTGAAACATGTAATATTTTATTTAGATCTCGTTGGAAATGAGCTTAAGTTAGTCGAAATAGTTCATACGAAGTTGTGCAAATATTTTTGTTATTCTAATGCATATATAATATACTAAAATACTTGATTCTTCATTATTTTCCAGGAAGTTCCCAAGATGACCTCCAGAGGGCTCGAGGGGTCTCACCACCCCTCGGTGATGACGTCACACTCCAGTGACAACAAACCTGCTGGAAGGGGAGTACCGTCACGCACAGACAACTGTCTCGATTTCGAAGGGAATATTCGGCCCAGGAGCTACATAGACAGTGGTGTTAGTGAGGGATATGGTACGGGGGAGGAGGTGAGGGGTCGAAATAGTGCAGATAAAGTGGGATATACAGACGGGGAGGTTGTGAACACGAGGCCAGACTGTGAGGGCAACAGACACTACAACGCCTTCAACTACTGGCGGAGGAACCTGCCTGACGTGTCTAGTGAGATAAAATATATATTACGGCCAGGTGATCTCAAACTCTCCCCGGATGTGAATGGTAACCGACACCTTATTTACAACTCCGAGGCCCGCAGTGTTGAAGGCGGGAGGAGAGGACCGCATGAGAGGCGGGTGCTCGAGCTAACCTCCGACGGGAGGCCACGCCCACGGAGCCTCACGTACTCCCTAAACGAGTCCTCCAAATACTACGCCCGACCATTGACGCCTTATAAGCAGCGGCAAAACCCTGACCTCAGCCCGCTGGTGTTGTTTGATCCTGTCGGAGAATCAAACACCGACGACAACCTACCTTGTGGGGATGTTGACAGGGGGCCGCCCCGCTACGGCGACAATGACACCATCGACTATGATGACGAGACAAGCGAGGAACGTCTACGCATAACCCGCTGCCGCCCAAAATCCGGCTCCTTCAGCGACTACTCGAGGTAAGTAACTCACTACTATGTCAAGTGTTGCATTAAGACTAACAGGTGGTGTTGATGGACGGTAATACCTCACACCTGTCGTATATAACTTCACATTCACTTATTTTGGTACCTGGTGACTAAGGTACTGCACAGTAGCTAAAACAACTATCTGTGCATGCATTGTGGGGAGCAATATGGACGATAAATATTGTTATATGAGGGCTGTCACTAGTCACACGTAAAATTTCGGTGCATATCGAACCCCACCTGCACAGATAGTTGTTTTAGCTACTGTACGTGTAGTTAATGGAGGGAGTGTGACGCCCACCATGAGGGAGCAGAGGCAGATGCTCACACTCATAAGATAGAGTTTTTAAGGTCATAATGAAGTGAATTAAGATATAGGACTTGGTAACCAGGTGAAGTATGTTAATAGTAAAGATGAATGAGTAGTGAATATACTGTAGAAGGTGGTGGTGAGGAGGATGGTGATGATAGGTAGTGGTGAAGGTATGGTGGTGAGGAGGATGGTGGTGGTAGGTAGTGGTGAAGGGATGGTGGTGATAGGTGGTGGTGAGGAAGAAAGTGACAGGAGAAGAATGAGGAGAAGAGTCACAAAAGGAGGAAGAAGAGGAAGGAAGGAAGACGATTACGTCAACATAACACGACTAATAACCTTAATAATGTTTATGGTCTGACTAAACTACTACTTTTATATACAACTTACCTCACCTAACCAGTAGACCATGTTATTGTTAGTGTGTAATTGTGGTTGTTATTTTTAGTGCAATTGTGGTTGTTATAAGTCTAATTGTGCTTGTTATTCGTAGTGTATGATTGTGGTTGTTATTTTGAGTATAATTGTGGTTGGTATTTTGAGTATAATTGTGGTTGGTATTTTCAGTGTAAGTGTGGTTGGTATTATAAGTGTATAATTGTGGTTGTTATTAGTGTAATTGTGATTATTAGTGTAATTGTGGTTAGTTTGAGTGTAATTGTGGTTGTTATTAATGTAATTGTGGTTGGTTTGAGCGTAATTGTATTTTTATTATTAGTAGTATATATACTTATATATTTGTGTGTGTGTCTTAGTGTATGTATATGGGTGTATGTGTATATATGTGTATCATGTGTACCGGTATGTGGGTGTATGTGGGTGTATGTGGGTGTACAGTATGTGTGTTGAACCGGACGCGTCGGCGACATAACACTATTGATCATGTCTGGACTTATGGTTAGTTTGTACACCCCCACAGCTAGTTGTACATCATCACAGCTAGTTGTACACCCCCACAGCTAGTTGTACACCCCCACAGCTAGTTCTACACCCCACAGCTAGTTCTACACCCCCACAGCTAGTTGTACAACCCCACAGCTAGTTCTACACCCCCACAGCTAGTTCTACACCCCCACAGCTAGTTCTACACCCCCACAGCTAGTTCTACATCACAGCTAGTTGTACACCCCACAGCTAGTTGCACATCATCACAGCTAGTTGTACACCCCCACAGCTAGTTGTACATCACAGCTAGTTGTACAACCCCTACAGCTAGTTGTACACCCACCCCACTAGTTGTACACCCCCACAGCTAGTTGTGCATAGTTGTACACCCCACAGCTAGTTGTACACCTCCACAGCTAGTTGTACATCATCACAGCTAGTTGTACACCCCCACAGCTAGTTGTACACAGCTAGTTGTACACCCCACAGCTAGTTGTACACCCCCACAGCTAGTTGTACATCATCACAGCTAGTTGTACACCCCCCAGCTAGTTGTACACCCACAGCTAGTTGTACACCCCACAGCTAGTTGTACACCCCCACAGCTAGTTGTACACCCCCACAGCTAGTTGTACATCATCACAGCTAGTTGTACACCCCCACAGCTAGTTGTACACCCCCACAGCTAGTTGTACACCCCACAGCTAGTTGTACATCATCACAGCTAGTTGTGGATAAGCACTAACTCAACAAGCTATGCATGTGGCAATGTTGTGGTATCCAGTGTGTGTGTGTGTGTGTGTGTGTGTGTTCTTGGTAAGCTTGTGGTTAGGTTAGGTTAGGTTCGGTAGATCCTTATTGATGAAGGCACCGTGTCCCTCCCTCCCTTGTTGCTGTGTCACTCTTCCATGCTGTCACTCACACCTCCACGCCGTCACTCAGACCGCCATTGATGAGTCATCTGCTTGGGTGTGGTGAGTGACCAAGAGCAACGTCGGTGACTCATGGTGACTCTTGCAAGGTATTTATTGGCTGGTCTTCATGTTTTGTGCGAAATTGATTGGTTCCCGCTCGTTTTCTGTCGTGCCATGAGCTCAAATCCCAGATTGTGATTGGTAGAAGTCCAGTGCGGTTGTGTTGCGTAACGTGATTGGGTGAATTGAATGCAAACGCCTTGGGGTCTGATTGTATCACGAAACATGATTGGTAGACATACAGGTCCTCGTGAGAGAGAGAGAGAGAGAGAGAGAGAGAGAGAGAGAGATAATGCAGTATTGGGCCTGATAATGTAGAGGGGGGGGGGTGGTGAGTCTTGATATGGAGGAAGGAGAAGAATCACAATTCATATCACTTCCTTCATGTCATTACGCTTCCTCCCACGCCTGTTGGTCCTTGGTTAAATGGCGTGTACATGATCACCTCCCACGCCTGTTGGTCCTTGGTTAAATGGCGTGTACATGATCACCTCCCACGCCTGATGGTCCTTGGTTAAATGGCGTGTACATGATCACCTCCCACGCCTGATGGTCCTTGGTTAAATGGCGTGTACGTGATCACCTCCCACGCCTGATGGTCCTTGGTTAAATGGCGTGTACGTGATCACCCCCTCCTGGGCTAGATGACCACGACGTGTTTTGCAGATCTCGGATAACTTCTTCACTTTAGGTAAATAGATCGTGACTCTGCATACAGTTAGTGGTGTCCGCGCGCTGCTCAAGCTCACCTGGGATACTTATAATGTTTGTTGCATTTTTTACCAATTTTTATGCATAAGAATCATCAGGTGTGTGGTGTTTAATGGTGTTTTATCTGCGTGTTTTACGAGGTTGATGATGCTCTCGTGTATAACTTGATAGCCTGTGTGTGTATCATATGTATGGCTGGAGGGAATCTCCTCTCTACTTGGTGGGCAGTCTTGTCCCCTGTTGCTCCCTCACTTCTCTCACCCCCCTTCCCATTTCTCCTTGTTCCTCCTCCTCTGCTTCCACTCTACTCATTCTCCTTGGCTCTTCTCTTCCTTATCCTTTTCTCTTTACTTACTCCACCTCCTACATCCTTGCTCCGTCCCCCCTTTCCTCTCCTCAGCCCTCCCTTTCCCGTGTCCAGTCCCCCCCATCCCCCCGCTCTCGCCCCATGGTGCCTGGCGTCCACTAACCTGCCTCTGCCTCCCACAGGTTAGTCTCTGCGCGGCCCTTCGCGTCGCCTGGCAGCCGCTCCCCTTGCGGCAGCACACTCCATGTCGACCATCTCAACGACCCTGCCCGCAGGAACTCGGCGCCCGTCGAAGTATTCAGGGACCTGGTGAGCGCCCTACACAAGAAACAGAGCGACTGTGTACAACCACCCTTGAGGGCAAGCGAGTGTTGGAGGTCCTCTGGGGACGAGAGTGTTGATAGTGAGGGATTCTTGTCGGGACGCTCATCGGAGGGGGACATCAACCACAACTCCCACAAGTTACAAGACCTCGACTCCGTTACCCCACTCGAATTTGATACTGACGATAGTGACCTCTTCGAAGGCTTCTACGACATGGGGAACATCCAGGGCGCGGAGGGCAAGAAGGCAGGGAAAGCCGAGAAACATAAGGGCAAGGGCCGGGGCAAAGGTGTTCGGGGCAAGTCACCCTCGAAGGCAAAACTATATGCAAGTAGAGATACATTAGATGGGGGTGACAGAGGACCCGTGTGTGCCTCCCCCGTCAGCACACCGGGCACCATCGCGGCAGCCACAGTAGGCATTTCCACGGAGTCTAGCGTCCCTCGTCCAGTCCCAGCTGCATCCCAACGTCCCACTACCATAGTAACTGACTCATGGAAAGAGGCACGAAAACCTAAACCTCTTGCAGCGGGTGAGGCTGTAGCCGGGGCCACAGGTGTAGCCTTCGTGGATTCTTCCTCCAGCTCGGAGTCCGTCTTTACAGAGGCGCGGAGCGGCGGGGGACCCTACAGCCTACACGATGCCCTCACTCCCGGTGACGGGGCCACCACGCCTGTGTTCACAGAGGCGTTGGATTTGCCCATTGATGCTATTATGTCCGGCCAGTACAGCTCAAGTGAGACTTCCACTGCCTCGTCCAAACCCCCTACTGTCGCTGAATCAGTGAAGTCCACCTTAAGTTCAACCGACGACTTATTAAAGAAAACGCCACCAATATTAGAGACGGAAACTAGTTTAGAATTGTTAAAGAAAACGGCGAGTGCTGATGTCACACGAGAGAAAACGTTGGTTGGGTCGGGGAGGCATGGAGGGAAGGTGCCGGAGGCCACACCCCCCCATTCTTCCCCCACTCAGGTAGACATAACAACACACACACGAGTTGAGGAGAGTCAGCAGACCCCTACACACGTTCACACGCCGTATCTGTCCTCCGACCAGCGCGCCCAATATGTGAGTGAGGCTGTTGTGGCCCCTATACATGGCGTCAGTTCAGTGTCCAGTGGGGATGTGGTTTGCCCTGATGGTGTAGATCTTGATTTTAGTGTTTTCTCGAGTGATCAGTGTGTGTTTGAGGAGCATAGTGGAGAGTACTCCGGCGCCCGGTCCACAGAGCAGCCGCCCAGGTATCTTTCGCTGTCAAACAGTGCTGGTGAGGAGTCTGTCGGCTCCTTCATTTGTGTCAATTTAGAGCCTGTGTCCTCAAGGCCCAAGACACAGTCTCTTGGGGACGTTCTCGAGGACCAGGATGATCCGGGGGACAATTGGTCCCCTGAGGGAAAGCCCAGGTCCTACTCCGCCGACGACCTCGAGTTAGACCTTGAGGACTACGACGACGAAGAAGACTACTACGTCGACGAGGACATGCCACAAGCTTCGGCGGCGGCTGCCCGAGGTGGGGGCAGTAGTGCATTCAGGGTATCCCGCCATCGTAAGGTGGAGCTGCAGCCTGCTAAGCCCTTGGCCGCCCGCTCCAACAATAACAACAACAATGCCGCCAAGAATAGAGCCCTGTCGGAAAACTGCATCTCTGGTGAGTAGACAAAACCTTTCATGAGTAATTTCTTTCTGTTAACCTGAACTTTTGGTTATTGAACCAATATAAGAAAAAAATTACATGTACAGGTATTATATTGTATCAGCAGTTTTCCTACAGCATCCACTTTTGTAGTTTTGTCAATGATTGATAGGAACTATGTTAATTTTTAGTTGAAAAAACATTAATTTGTGGCGATACCGTGAGTGAGACGCCACACACTGGTGAGTAAACGCGTGGTGAGACAACGTCCCGGGGAGACTGTTGGGGGACGGTGACCTCAGCTTCCTGTAGGAGTCCGCGATACAAGTCATCCTCCCCGAGGACTCCCAGTCATACCATCCTTCACAAAACACCCGTAGCACTGATCATAACACTCCCCTACACCATACCAACACCATCCACCACGACATACAGCACGGACCACACCATCCACCCACATCGCACCGCCCACCATGACACATGTCCACCCACCCACACGACGCCACCACCACACCCACACGACGGGTGTGGTGGGAGGTACAGTGTGCCAGTAGCTACACTATATCAAGTGTTCTGTCATTGACGATCAAGTTCCCACGTTATGTTGCACTTGTTAACGTGTGGTAAAAATTTGTCTAAATTGTTTGTTTTCAGGATCAGTGACCAATTTATTTTCTGTTAGCTTCTTAACCCACAAATGATAGGGAACACATGAAGATAAGACACCCCACCATATTTCACCTGATGATTAAGCACCCTGTAACGGTTAGGTCAGGTCAGCGTGTTTAACTGAAATACCCCGGGGTGCTTAATCTTCACGTGCTCCAACAATAGATGCAGGTTGGTTGCTAACTTTAATATAAATTATTTTACTCTACTTTTATTTCGTTCAAGTTAAAACCGACATTTGTAAACTATTTATTTGTTTGAGACTTGAAGGATAAGGTAACACAATTTGGGTATTTGAATAAACTGAATGATATATAAGATTCGTTCTTTCGGCCCCAGGTGTTGGAGGCACCATCTGGTCCGCATTTTGGCGCGCAAACCTCTTGGCCTGGCGGAGTTGAGGTGAGGTGAACCGTTCGCTCGGCCCTCTGTCGACTCTTGACCCCGTTGGTTACGCCTCTGTGTCACGCATGGCTGGGTTTTGCCCTTGGGATGGGTAGAAGTAATTATCCAATTTAGTTAGCCCCAGAAGGGTCCAAAACGCCGTCGAATAGCTACCGAGGAGTGTTTACGTGAGGCGCATTGGTATGATACAGTACAGTACGCAGCTCCAGCGGGAGGCAGGAATGTTGATCATTGTTTAATATCTGTGAGGAGACACTTAAGTTATTAGATGTTGAAGGTATTTAGTTGTGTGCGTTTGTGTCTATTTTTTGCGTTTACAAGATTAATTATCAAAGATGTAATAAGAGGATAACCTTATTTGGGACAGATAAATTTTATCGTCTTTTCATAAGGTCAAAAGATGAACAGTAAGGAAGAGTCGCCGTTCATGTGCTTGGTTAGAGATTCAGGTGCTGGTGCAGGGGGAACACAACCACACAGCGGAAGGGAAACCTGTCCCGCTGGTGGCTGGAGAGGGTGGTGGTGGTTGGGGAGCCAGACAAAGACCCCCCCCACCCCTCCGACACTGGTAGGGTGGGGGGGGGGGGTACACCTGCCCTTCCTGTGGTAACGGTGTTGGAGTGGTAACGAGGTTTGTGAAAATCTGAATCTGTACAGGAGATTTAGTAAACAAAAATTGACCGAATGTTTTGAATATCGTCAGGAGAGTATTAAAGGTTCCCTGTGATGCTGTAGTACAAGTAAGATAGATTGATGAGTAGTTACGGTCACGGGGATAATGTTGTTTACCCATCACTGAGACTCAGGGATGGAGGGAGGGACCAGGCCAACCAACAAGTGGCTTAGATGAGTGACAGTGACGGTTTGTTATTGTTGACAAATGAGTGACAACAGAGACCCGCTAATATAAGGGTTTAGTTGTCCAGGGATAATTCTTTACATTCATATTTCCGCTTTGTGTCCTGGCGATATCTCTAATATTTCAGCGGATTTTCTATCAATATATTAAAGCTGCTTCAATGTAATCCTGCGGTGGGTCCTCCTGCTCACCATATTAGGATATTAATTTTCTACCCTTTTCTTGGCTGTGTCTTTTATAAGTAATAAAAATGTCTACATGATTTTTTTTTTCGTAGTGATGGTAAATATTGTGTTGTAGTAGGAAGTAATTCAAGAGTTGTGAGGGAGAGGAAGGGTTTTGTGGTGTAGTGAAACATCCAGGTTGTTCATCAGTGACTCATTCTCCAGGTTGTTGATCAGTGACTCATTCTCCAGGTTATTCATCAGTGACTCATTCTCCAGGTTGTTCATCAGTGACTCATTCTCCAGGTTGTTCATCAGTGACTCATTCCTCAAGTCATACCTAATGAACGCCTCACTTATGGTATACTCTTATTATAATTAGTTATGTGTGTGTGTCGTTGCTGTGTCGGGTGGTATTATTGGTTGGGTTAATGCCATTTGGTGTTGGGTATTTGTAAATATTCTCTTAGTTCTCGTTTTCTGATACACGAACTTTTCTAATCTTCATATTTTCATCTGCAAATTCTTTTCTGATGACTGTTTTTAGAGTTTGGCAATTATGAATCATATTAACCCTTTTGAAGACGATAGTTTAATCTCTTGAATACAACGGTTTAACCATTTGAAGACTGGTTTAACCCTTTGGATACTGGTTTAACCCTTTGAAGACTGGTTTAACCCTTTGAAGACTGGTTTAACCCTTTGAAGACTGGTTTAACCCTTTGAAGACTGGTTTGATCCTTTGAAGACGATGATTTAACCCTTTGAAGACTGGTTTAACCCTTTGAAGACTGGTTTAACCCTTTGAAGACGATGATTTAACCCTTTGAAGACTGGTTTGATCCTTTGAAGACGATGATTTAACCCTTTGAAGACTGGTTTAACCCTTTGAAGACTGGTTTGATCCTTTGAAGACGATGATTTAACCCTTTGAAGACTGGTTTAACTCTTTGAAGACTGGTTTAACCCTTTGAAGACGATGATTTAACCCTTTGAAGACTGGTTTAACCCTTTGAAGACGATGATTTAACCCTTTGAAGACTGGTTTAACCCTTTGAAGACGATGATTTAACCCTTTGAAGACGATGATTTAACACTATGAAGACTGGTTTAACCCTTTGAAGACTGGTTTAACCCTTTGAAGACTGGTTTAACCCTTTGAAGACTGGTTTAACCCTTTGAAGACAGGTTTAACCCTTTGAAGACGATGATTTAACCCTACAGGACTCAAAGGGTTAAACACTATTATTATTAGCATTGAGGTTAATTAAGCCCCGCCATGCTGTAGGAGACCGCGTGGGGGAGTGGTCGTCAACTTGGTGTCAAGAGCAAGTAGTGAAGATAGTGTTAATGATGAGACTGGATATTCTCACCGGTCTCCTCATGTTAACTTTGGTACGTATGGAACACCCTCGAATAATTCTCAGAGCTTAAGAGTGTGTGTGTGTGTGTGTGTGTGTGTGTGTGTGTGTGTGTGTGTGTGTGTGTGTGTGTTGCTTTGTGTTTTAAATGTGCAGTAAACTATCGATGATCTTCTGTTCATTATGTTAACTATATTAATGTTATCTCGATGTTTAGGTGATTTTTTTTTAAATGTTGATACGTCTGAGATTTTTTCTTATTCGTGAAAATCTGATAAGGCGTCAACAAATATTTCTCCTTCTGTTGTTATTGATGATGTGTATGAGATATGTCCTTTGGCGTCTCTCTCTCTCTCTCTCTCTCTCTCTCTCTCTCTCTCTCTCTCTCTCTCTCTCTCTCTCTCTCTTGTATGTGTGCCGAACAACTTTTAGACAACAGGAAGACTCACAAATTCTCCTCTCACACCTCCCTGACCCGTACCCGTTAGGCGATGGTGGTGGTGATAGTAGTAGTAATGGTGGTGACGGTTGGTGGTAGTAATAGTGGTGATGGTGAGTGCTAGAAGGTGATACTAGTGGTAGAGTAGGGCTCAGGTACAAGGTGTTGGGTGTCACCAGGTGTACGAGGCGGCCAGACCATCCTATAGTCGTCCAGGTAGGAATGACGAGACACTTGTTGAATAAATAGTGTCGTGGTGTAACGGCATAGCAGAAAGAAGGGTGGGTGTGTGTGTGTGGTAGATAAAGGTCATTATGGTGGAGAGTATAGTGTGGTTGTGGTCTCTCTCTCTCTCTCTCTCTCTCTCTCTCTCTCTCTCGGGGTAGTTATTATTTGCAGCGATAGTGAAGGAAATAAACTAAGCGTCGTAGTACTAAGATACGATGTTATATGAAAGAGATAAACTAAAGCCAAATAAGTTGTCAGGTCCCGATGAGATATTTACCGGAGTATTAAAGGAATGTGAGGAAGAGCTTAGTATACCTTTTGGCGAGTGTGTTTAGCATGGTATTAAAAATCGGGCGTTGTACTAGAATCATGGAGGATAGCGAATGTGATGCCGATTTTCAGAATGGGAGAAAGATTACTGTCTTAACTATCGTCCAATCAGTTTCATTCAAGCGATTTCGAACTGTGGACGATGGATACGACTATGATGTGGTTAACTTTAACTTTAGCAAAACATTTGATTTGATAACTCACGAAGGACTGACACAAAAAGCACTTGGTACTGGAATGGATGGAGTTCTGGATGAGTGGAACAATATACTAAACGATATCATTAACTCGAAATCGTTGGGAAGCTTCAAAAAATAGACTGGGCAAAGTATTATATGAGTGATGAAGGCTGGGTGTATACGAGGCTGCGTAGTATTGACCAATAGGCCTACTACTACTACAGCCTCCTTCATTCTTAAGTTCTTATTCTCGTGGTCATCAGCTAGAGAATGTCAGGGAGAAGAGAAAACGCCCAGATGCAGGGAAAACCACGACTATTCAGGGGAAAAACCCGAGTGTGGTGCCCTGAGTCTGGGGAATATTGATCTTACAGTCTCTCA